AATCGAGTCACTCTTAAATATTTATTATTTTATAAACATATATTCAATATGTATACATATATTAAACAAAATAAACATGTCTTCGCTTCAACAGTCATATATTGTTGTAAGCCTTATTCTACAGGGATATATTAATGTAGCGTTGCAACGGAATGGCGATATACCGGTATGTTGCGATACAGAGTCATGTAATACGTGTGTGTAATACACAGTGCAGAACATCCTCACCGCGATATTTTCTTCAAAGATCGAATTATACATGTACATTTTTCGATATTTTCAAGCCGCAACCTGTATGAATTGTATGTTGTTTAAATCTAGAACAAACAATACCAACTTGAAGTTCTTTTCTATTTATCTTAGCAATGATTTTTATGAGCCACTTATATTACACCCATAAAACATTTTAAAGATATCAATATCATTTTTTCGTGTTAACATTCACATATTATTTTAGGAAAATGAGTCCATAGCACAAATTGATTATATTGAAAGTTTTAATAATAACCATTAAAACTAAAAATCCGTATTCACAGAAATTCGTCATTCAAACACTGTTCTTAAAAGCACTTAAATATATCAATCATGTATAGGAATGTTACGTAGGCCAGTGTAACGGTGTCTTTTTCGTGACGTAGGAAATGTTTTCTCCAGATATTACAAGCTTCTTCGACATGTGTGTATCTAAAAAAAGAGAGTTTAAAATCCTGTTTTAATAGTGTCATGAAATAGTTATCACAACTTTCAAAAAGACTATACACAAGCATTTTATTTAAGCGTATACATATACACAATTTTTTTTCTTACGCAAATTTCAAAATTATTTTATATTATTAGGATAAAGTTGTCATTTATAAGCAACCATTTACACAGGATTTAAATGAAATGATTAATCTATGACGGATGATAAGTTATATTTTTTGTTATAAAACCATTTCGAATATATTTATTTCACACGTGTAATATAATGGTATCTTAATTCTATGTAAAGAGTATTTTATTGATGTTATCAATATCATACTACCACTGTATAATATGTGACTCTACTATACTTCGACCATAGCTTGATTTATTGCATAGCTGTTAAAAAAAAAAATCAAAAAAAAAATCACATACACGCAGGCACACATGCCCTCCTGCACACGCACGCACGCACGCACGCACGCACACACGCACGCACACACACACACACACACACACACACACTATCTAAACGTTTTGTTCCATGTTTGAAATAGTCATTTTCTCTGAAAACATATCAGAGATATGTCAATGTTATCATTATTAATTAATTGTCATATTATATTGTATAAGCGCAATAAATCAAAATTTTACTGTAAATGGTTCTAAAAATAATACATTTTTATTAACATAATGAAAGTAGCAATGCGGTCGTTCACTAACCACAGTTTTCTTTCCATATGTCTCAAAACGAATCCCTTGTGACAGAGGGGTTGCCTTAAAGGATTGAGGCATCAGATTCCAGTCATCGTTTATCCCTTCATGATTGTAAGAGAAGGCTAATTGGATTCATATAACATGATCTATGCATCTCTTAGTTCCATCAGGTGGTTTAGATTTCTGGTGTTGCTTTAAGTAAGTTACACACGAGAAACGCCAAACTATCTTCCCTGTTTCGGCACCATAAGACCTAAGCTACCAAACAAAACCAAACGTCTAATATCAAAAACAGCTTCAGATAGTCAGCATGTGTTTTTTTGTATAAACCATGTCATGAAGTTCGTTTTGTTCATTATGATTTCGACGGAAACTAGTGCTTTAATAAAGTATGCTGACACTTTAACATGACAACACTTGTACAATAATATGCGTTCAAAAGCTAGCATTAAAAATAACAAATAAAAATTTCATCATTTCATCAGACAGAAACTTATATGATATAAATGAGCAGATATTTGAAATTGAATTTGAAATGATTACATTAACCCTTTACCTCATATATACCCCAAACATATGTTTCCGTTTGAAAAATGTTGATAAAAAAGTGAGCACTTTTTCGGCGCCGCCCCTGAACCAAAAGGTACATCAGGGGGTTGCCAGAAGGGGGATGTGCCCCCTTCTGTTTGGGGGGGGGGTTAAAGGGGGTCGGCAGTCCCCCTCATCCCCAAGAAAAATTTGGACTTGTGAGAGGCTAAAAATGACCCTAGATTGATCATAAGGTAACGTGTAACCATCGCTGAAAAGCATTTGACTCTTTCGCAATCCATTGAGAAGTTGCAGCACTTTGAAATCAATTTTGATGGAAAAAATCAATGCAAAAAAGTGATTTTTGGCAATTTTGAGATGTCCCCTCGTTGCCATGGTAACAGTAAATTTAAGCCTGATCATGTTGTTACAAAGGCAATGGTCCAGTAACATTTGTGCCAAGTTGGATTAGTATTGAAGCAGTTTTTATAGTTTTATAGCAATTTGAACTTGTAACGGGAGACTTTTCATTCGATTTTTCACAAAATGCTCATGGAGTAATGGGCTAATTATTAATGTAGACAGTAATGAGGCAACGTTGAAAGAACGCTTCCCAAAAACACCCATAGAGAAAATCGAAATAGAGCAGGTAACAGTGGGACAGAGAGAGCAATAAATGAAGTAACGCTTAGGCAAAAAAATCAATTACATGTATATTATATCAATATTTCAACCTTAAAAACCTTAATTGATTAAAGGAATTGTTACTTAACTTTTCCGGACTTAGTTGAGTTAGCTCTGCTTTTGAAAAGTCTTCTAGACGAAATAATGTAATAGTTGATAAAATAGACTATGTGCCATCTTAACATATAAATATATATCAAAATGAGATAAATAGAAGTTATTTTATTTCATAAACTTTTTCATTTTTCTAGGATTTTGCTATGTGTTTACTAAAACGTGTGTTTCATAGATGGCCTTGATTTTCAAAACATAGTTTGTAAAAAAGACAGACGCACTTCTTAAATAAAGGCGTTATTCAAGTAGTGGCACTTGACATTACATTGAAATGAATTTCCAGTTCGTTCTTTGTCATAAATTATGTTTTGATTGACATAATACCTTGTACAGTGTAACTTCTGAAAACCGAACACCTGTGGGACTATCAAAAAAGTTCTGATTTTGGATGTATCTGAACAAGTAAAAAACATTAAACATCATGTTTTTAAGTAAAACATGATACAAATATATGAAGCTGATTAAATTTATAAAATAGCAAAATTATAGGACTTTTAAAAATGTTTATAACTATATTAAAGTTAATTATCACTGTAACTGAATGTGTTGATACAATAGCATAATTATAACAATTTGTCCTTAAGTAGGTTTCATGTATTTCCTGCTATTAACCTGTAATCTTTGATTTTCATCACATTATACTTCTCATGTATTTTCGTTATAAATTTTCACACTTTAATCAAGTGTTTGACAGGTTGTGATTCTTATAGGTGTAAAGATAAATGGTAATTGGAAGATACTGTTATTTTAAAGGTTATAATCACTAGCATTATATTCCTTCACAAGTTTTCCAATTTTTGGATTTTGGAAGTAAATTTGAATTGATATAACCAAATTTTACCAGAAAATCGTTCGGAATTCAGATTTAAGAAGTTCTATAATTCAGAGGTATTAAATATTATTATATAATATTCGTGTTAATTGCTGGGATAATCTTTGCGACGACCAGTTTGTAAAAAGTTTATGCTTAAATTAACCTATAGCTCTTCAGCGCTTCTTATGTAAAATTCTTCCAAGTATAATTTCCAATAACCGTAAATAATATCATACCCAGACTATGGTATAATTTCAGTTTTGAAGATCGAATGAGTAAGTGTTTCTGGGCGGAGCTATAGGTTAAAACAGATACACCATTGGTGCGTTGACGATTTCTGAGTTTCCGTAAATTATACCATAATCACGTGACCTTTCTTATGCAACCTCACTCGACTTCGTCTCGTGAGGTTCAGGCATAAGAAAGGTCACGTGATTAGGGTATAATTTACGCAAACCCAGAAATCGTCAACGCAGCAATGTGATATCTATTACATATCGAAATACTCGTCTTCATTTAAACAACTAGATTACATTAAGTAGATGATTTATTTATATTTGAAGCAGTCTTTATTTCAGCATAATGAGTATATCTTAGTATCTGTATAATGTTTCTCAAAATAGCTGGATAAAGCACTTTAAATATCTCACATGTGATGATTGTGTGGACGATAACTTTAGAGAAAAAACAAACAATCATTTCATCGGAAATTCCTGCTTATGAAATTTGATATCATGTTTTCTACGGAAGCAAATAGAGTGGACAGTAAACAACTCACTGCTAAACAAAAGCAGCAACAAATATAAATTTTAACAGTTTGTATGAAATGAGAAAACTATCAGACTTTCAATGTAACCTAATACATTGCATATCACATATGAAGGTCTCCCGCCGTACTTGTGTCAAATTAAGAAACATGGTCGTAACCTAAATAAGGCTCGATGCCACCATCCCTGCGCTGAGAAATATACATGTTTACCGTTAGGCCATCGTCCTGTTTGGTGTTTTCATACTAAAACTCTGATACAAAATAGATACATTACGGATAGTTTTCAGACAAATGGTATTAAAGCTGTCCTGATATTGTTTCAACATTCTTACATGGCATTTTTTTAACAGAAGTTAAAAGATGGTGGTATATCCATCATCATATCATATGACAAAAGTAGTTTGTAATATGCGTGTTTTCATCCACGTTGCTTCTCTACATACTTCAGTGAAATCATCAATGCTTTTCAAAGCTACTGCGGACATCAAAAGAACTGGTCTGCAAAATTCAATATTTGGTTTGTTTCATTACGGATGTGTAACATGAATGATACGGTTAACAATTTAAGGATATATAATAAGTTAAATTTGTATAATTCGTCGCCACAACAATTGTTTAAATATTAGCTGAAATAAGTGTTCCTTCCATTACACCATACGTTTGAAACAAAAGCCATTATGTATAATATATTAAATGATAGATCAAGTTTACTTCAGTCGTATGGAAACACTTGCTCACAACACATTATTCGCTATTGGTTTGAAAGCAATGTCTCGCGTTGGATTGAAAATAATATTTCTTTTATTGTGCTTTTGTCCGATAAGTGAGGCAGAGTTTGAGCTAAGCCCAAAGACAGTTTATGAATTGCTAGTTTATGAAACCACGAAACTGAAATCCCAGCTGGCAGAAACTAATTCTCTTGTTGAAGGAATAGAGAAAAAGATTGAACAAATTGGTTCTAATGTTTCATTGATAGCAAACAAAGTGGACAGATTTGTGGAAGAAAGATCAAAATATCTTACAAATGGGAACGTCAAAACTATTACGGATGCTTCTGACGCGATGTTTCAAAGTGATATTGAGATGCAATCAGTAGTGTTCCGCAAAATGCTGATAAATGAAAAAACGCTTTTGAGAAATACACTGAAGAAGTTTGAAAACAAAATTAAAGAGTTTGAGTCGGTTATTGAAAACCGAATCACATTGACAAATATAACGGTCGAAAGTAAAATTGACCATTTTAACAATTCTGTCTTCGACCAAAAGGTTACTATGTCTGATTCACTGATATCTTTTGAAAGGAAAATTAAAAATATTGTAAATAAAACTGATATTATTATAAAAGAAATGAACGAAGATTTTGAAAGTAAACTCAATGATTCAGAGGCAAAAGTGAGTCAGCGTATATCTTCCGTCGGCGCGATCCTGCAGAGTCTACTTCGTTCAATATCGTCAAAGCAAGGTATTTAAATTAAAACGCATGAGACATAAATTTAGATCATATAGTAATATTTATAATTATAAATATATTTGTCTCTTGTTCATGTATTGTAAATATGGAAACTGGGATATATTTTCAATAAACTTGGAATAGAGAAAATAAGAATCCCTAAAGAAAGCTCAACACGGCAAATTTAACAATGTTGCAGGCTCAGTTTGATGGACGTTACTGTCAAGTGGAAAACTTAGAATCTTATCGATGCGTTAATGTGTTGATTATAAACACTTTTGATTATGTAACAAGAATAGTTTGTTGTTAAAATTATATAAATATATAGAAAATCAAGATTCTTCATTTACCATTTTCATACACTAAATAATACATGTATTCGTTAGATTTCGCGTATTTACCTTTGCTCAATTTTGAGATCAATATATAGAGTACATTTCCGTGGTACTGAACGCTTTGTAAGTAACACCCTCTTAATAGCTTTAATAGATGAAATATAGTTAATATTAAAAACCGTGTATGCAACGCAATGAATGCTTTGTTAAGTAACACCTATTAAACAGCAAGTATATTTTGTACCATTGAGAAAAATCAGATAATAATGCTAATTTTTACAGATATTTTGTTATTCACGGTTGATATTTATTGCAGAAGAACAGCAAGGCACGTTGTCTGGTTTGATAAACGATATAAACACACGGATTGCAGCAGAAGAAGGTACGCATCAATTATATCATGTGATTTTACGTTTGTACAAATTTGACCAAATAATCGTTAAATTGTGTTAAGATATTTATAAGAGTGCAATTATAATAATACACGTTGTATATCCATATCGGTACCCTCTTTGCGATATCTACTAAAACGGAACCCTCTTTGCACATGCACAGATCATTCTCTGCTGAAAACAAATAGGCGACATATACCAAACTAGATAATGTTCATTTTATTGATAAAAGACGGTATGTCGAGTGAAAAGGAAGCAAACCACGGAACACAAGAATGTTTAATCTTTGTCTTTCTAAAGAATTTGTCCATTTTCAATTACTGCAACTCCAAAATAAGCTAATTGTCGACTTGCCAAACAGAAGCACATAAAAAATCTGGAACCCAAGTTAGGCCGCACCAACAGCCGCGGCATGTTCTGTGTGTCACATTTTTGACTCAGTTATTATCAAACTTTGTCAGATTGCTTCCTAGGCAAGTGCATAAATGAGTTTGAACATGGGTCATTTCGGATAAAAAAAAACTGGGTCACAGGAGCTAAAAATATAAAAGTCTTGTTAACACTCTAGTGGCTACTGTTTTGATCCAAATATCCTGGAAATTGGTCTGAAAGTTTGTTTTGATTTCTATGTCAAGTTCGGATATGGGTCACCTGGGGTCAAAAACAAGGTCACACTGCCTAAATATGAAAAATCCTTGTTACCCAATTGCCAACAAACTTGTCAGGATGCTTGTCTTAATGCAGTAATTGCTCGGATGAGTTCGATGGGTCAAGTGAGCGACCTAGGGCCATCATGGACCTCTTGTTAATCATATTTTACCACCATTGTGTACATGTGTATAAAAAAGTGATCGGGTTCAACATATTTTCTCCTGGCCATATAGATTAATATATTGACATATATATTGAAAAACATAAGACTGGAGCATAGACTGATTATTCATGCTTTAAAAATAAAGCAACAATTCAAATAATTGAAGATAATTCTATCAAAATATTCAATCTTAAAAGCATTTCAACATATATGTTTAAAATAATTTCTTTCTTAAAAGTTATATCCATGTGTATTTATTTAATTTCAGATGGAAAGGTTTCATTCTCTGCAAACACATCTGGAGGGACACAGGTTTTATTTGCGGACAAAAAATGTCACCTATTTTTAGAAGGGTAGGTTTTAATCGCATACTATTTAATCACGGTGGAGGGTACAACCCCTCTACGGGAATCTTTACAGCACCTAAGTCTGGCACATACTTGTTTATATTTGGCGTTGAAGCAGATCATCCCGGCTTTTATTTGATGCATAACGAGATGGCAATGGCACACCAAACAGCTAAATTGAATAATAAAGCGGTAATAGGAATAACATATATGAACACCGGTGAAAAGGTTTGGGTGCAGAATGATGTGACAGATGCGAGGTACAGATATGTATATAGTGGATGCTTCGTTGGCATTTTAATTATTTGAAATAAAACAAAATCATACATCTCATTATACATGTTTTTGATATCACAAAAATCTGTAGATTATTAGAAGTATAAAACTGAAACTATTTTGATTAGGCACCTTACACATTATATGTGGTATCATCTCATTGAAAGGAGATCTAGGTATTAACAATTATATCTCTCTTGCACAATTTTGAAGTTATAACCATATCAATGTTCTGTGAATAATTTCCTTTTCACATTTGCAAGAATAAATGAAGATATCGGGTATATTGCTGATTTGACCTATTTGCCAAAAATAATAATGCACTCTTGTTAAAACGAGGGCTTTATCGCAGCAGCCAAGTACATATGCCGAAATACGGCGAATAGACATCACCGCTAATTTAAGTTGTCGTACTTTCTAGGATACGGACAGATGGCAATGTAAACAAATATCTGCCATTCAGTTTAACTCTCCTATTAACTTAGAACACATGATAACACAAAATAAAAATGATAAAATATTTTGTTTTATTGTCATTTATACTGACAATTACTCTTTATATTTCTTTGTGAGAATTCGTTCAGTGTCAGTTGTTTGTTATAACCTTGTGTGCTTGAAAACAAACGGTCCTGATGTCTAAATGCCCCTGATCTTTCTACTGTCAATCTGAAAACATTTTCAGAAATTTCCGAGGGTCATGTTTTGTCTTGGGTAGAGTATATTTTAAAAAACATTTTCTTGAGTCAATGAATCTCCAAAGTTAAGCTTTGTTAAATCAATTAAAATTCGACATTTCGTTTGACTCTGAGCATTTGTATTTTCCACGTTGTTGGCATAAAATTCAAACGTAAAGCATGTTAAATTGAATCAATACCGTCCTAGTGCAAACCGTTTTCACAAGGATTTCATATGTTTGTTTCGTATTAAATAAACATCATGAATCTGGTTTAAAATGTTATGCCATGTAATAAAGTCTGCAGAGTCCCTTCTAACGGGTTCGGGCACCAACCGTTCATCGGGACTCTGCAGACGTAATAACAAGGAAAAACCTATAACCCTATATTATTTGAAACTTTATTTGTGGATAGATTTAATTTGAGGGATGTGCAGCGGGTAAGAACTATAACTATTAAAGGTGTGATTGCAATAAATCATTCAAATTCAATAAATGAGGATAAGTAAAAAAGGCAATAATAAAGATCAACAAAGGCAACGTTCAAAGGACGCAGCCCCCCCTCCCGACACACCCAAGTGGGGCACCCAGAAGGCACCAAACCAAAACCGGGAGTGGACATAAGGGCGGCGAAAGGAGAGGGACACTTTGTGAAATAATAATATCTAAAATGGGCCCATATGGGAATTAGAAATAGATCCAAAAAGAAGGCAAAATGTTTTCTTTGTCCAGTCTATTTTTGAAAAAGGTTATTTTTCGGTATACATTGACTCATTTCTAGCTAACGTTTTTGATGGAATATAAAATAAATAATGACACAGATGTATTTTGATAATTTTCTGACAATTTTAAAAATCTTGTAAAAATGAAATTTGCCCGAAATACTTTAACGTTTTTGACAACATTGTTACAATTTCTATAAATGTTATGTAAAAAATAGGTTACAAAATACTTTCTTTTTGCTATATTGATTATTATATGTACATGCATATTGAAAATGATAATAACACTTTTCATACGATGCTGAATATACCGTGAATAACCAAGGCGCGCACATTAATATTTATTAGACGGTAACCATATATGTATAAAATCTAATTTTGCGTTTTGTTCTTTATTGGATGTTTCTCGATTCAATTTCATTACGTCAAACAAAAAAGTAGTTAAAAGTTACATTACACCGCTATGATGACTTTATATTTGAATTGAATTTTATAGATGAGAAGCAAAATCTCAATACACGGTTCACTCAGTCGTATAATAGTGCTTGCCGTTGAAGCTATTGAGTTTACTGTTACAATATTTCGAAATATGAAATAGTAAAATACAATTCAGAAAACAATTATAAATTTATCCAGTTTAAAGGAATAAAAACGGAAAGAACCACTGTTTGTAGCGTTTAATGTAAAGCAAATATTCCTCTTACCGATTTGTTTGCCACTATGTTGGTAAACGTTATATTTTGAAACGGGCCATGCGCATAACAAATTTGTAGCATGCCATTAATGATTTTAGGCTTTAAATGAGATTCATTTACTTCAATTTCATACGCAAAAATGGATGCCGCCAGCAATCGGTTTCAACACTCTGAAGAGCTGAAATAAGATGGATTCTCCTTTTCTCACTTAAAAGATTACTTCAAATTGTATATGTACTAACATGAGAGAAGGCATAGCCTTTAAACGGGAAGCAATGTCAAACATGTTAATGTTTTATTTGACATTTTTCGTTCGGTATTTCATGCACCACTTCCTTTTTCAGCCGGAATATTACGATTGTTCTGTTATTGGTATACCTAGTCGATTATTATTGAGTTACATTAATCAAAGGCTTGACGGGCCATAATGGCTTACGGATTTGATATGACTATAAAGTTGAAGGAAAAGCATCGTATTCATAATGTCTTGAAGTTTAGAGGAAAGTGAGGAATCACTTTAAGTGTTCTATAGAATCCTTTAAAACAAACTATTGCAAGTATATGTGGTACATTTTGAAACCTATACATGACAAAATTTTCGTTCATAGCGAAATGACCTAAAATAATTTGCATTTATAAATAAACTCTTAAGTGGTAAACCATTTCCGATTTCCCTTCAATATTTTTGAATACGTCAGCATGTTTTTGTAATTAACAATAGAAACACTCACATGTTGAGTAGTTCGTGTGACGGAGACAAGTGCTTTAATTAAGTATGCTGACACTTAAATATTATCAAAAATACTAAAAATGATAAGCGTCCAAAAAGCATTATAAATAAGATATATACGAGAGTAAAAGATAATTATATATATATAAAAAACATTACAGATAAAGTGATATAATGATATATATATGAGCTGGTGCCACTTATACTAAAATTAAGCTAAAACTGATTACACGGATTCTGTGGGTTGAAAGGAATGCAACACAAAAAATATTTTGTAAATATTACCCATAGGGAAAGATCAGGTAAAACAAGAGTGTTATGATGACCATGTATCATTGACCTGAAACAACAATGCTAGAAGAGGTCATCAAATGCATTTAAATACATAATCAGTAAGGCCTCATTAGCTTGTCATTTTTTACCCAAACTTGATACTTCAAAACATCTGTAGACGTCCGCAAGTAAATACTACATACTAGATATCAAATCTCTGGACATTTAAGTTCGACTGTACTTTACTGTGTAAGTCAAGTTTAAGCTTAGAGTGACTAAAAGATTGGACTTTGACCTCAGTGGCAGAATTTATGTCAGTTTTGTAAAGAAAAACAAACATTATGCTACATGGCAAAATAAAACCTATGATTTGGGTCAAGAAGATTTAAGTGTGTTTTCCTATATGAATCAACATAAACTAAGAAAATTCCGGAGTGGCGAAGGACATGATAATATACTTTTGTAGAGGACCAAGTTCACGCTGCATGTCAAATATCTAGGTTTTGAGCTTTGAAATTTCGAGAAGATTTTAAGACATTTTACAAAACAAGTCAAGGACGGGGCCATCTTTAACCTATGGAGATGACCTATATCAATCTTTTAGATGTATATAAGACAATGCAACATGCTAAATAGCTAAGCTCTCAGCATTGAACTTTGTAGTTTGTATCTTAGGCACTTGACCAATTTCGAACCCAGGGACATGATTTATATAATTTTTGTAAAGGACTACAAGGTAAACTACAAGGTGACGCCACATGCAAAATATCTCAGCTCTTGGCATTGTAGCTCCCGAAAAGAAAATCTCTTTAAAGACATTTTTACTTTACGAGAAATAGTAAAAAGTTCTTGGACTGGATCGATTACTCACAAATTTGACTTTATTTTAAAATGGTTCTTTACATGGTGTCAATTTTTGTTAGTTTGCATTGTATTTACTGGAGCAATACCTTTCTTAAATATCCGCCTTTGAAATAATGAAAAACTAAAGCATGGAGCACATTATTCAGTTTATATTTTTTAACGAAGGGTATGTTTTAGTCACGGAGAAATTCATGATAGTTTGATAATAAAATGTGTGAATGGTTAAGTGATGAAACATATATTAAAAAGACTAAATGGTGAATACTGGAGGCGATAAAGATTGGCGGTGAAAGCGCATAACGAAATTGTGATTAATTATAAAGGCCCCTTAACCAAAGGAAGGAAATTTATGGTATGGAAACACAACTCGTCTGCACCACCTCTAAAAGCAAGGACTACAGAATCATCATAGAAAAGGACACAGACTTAAAGTTTGCGTCACTTTTTTCTCATTGACGACGTGAATGACATTCCAAAGTGACCCGATACTACAATGCATGTTTTATAATAAACCTCGTGAAGTAATATGTGTTTTAATAGTATCAAATGTTTATATCATTTGAAAGTGAATAAGATCATTTTTGCTGTCGTAAATCTTTGTCGTAATTGTGGATTTATCGCCTCCTTCCGAGAATCTTTTTACTTTTCCTCGAATACGCCTATTTAAACACAATGCCCCAACCCCCCCCCCCTGGAGCAGGGACCTTTCTGTCCAAAAAGCCATGATTTATACAACACATGTAGAGGTCCACTAGGCAATGCTTCAAGACAAATATC